CTGCTTCATAGTTACCTCACTGAATGGAAACATATTCTACAAGGAAGATAGCAAGATCCAGAAGATAGCTTGCTGTCAAATTCAATTAGGATTAGATTGTACGGAAGCTGTACTAACACTGATATCTTGTCTGACTCAGGTCTATGAATTTTTTGCTAAAGAGGTAAGTACAACTGTTCTGTCCAGTCATCCAAGCATGTTTGCATCCTCTCTAGGTTTAAAACAGCTTCATATCCCAATGTCAGACAGTTACAGCAATGAATCCTCAAAAAGCTTTTTCGGCCTCAGCTTTAACTTACAACATGGTGAACTTAAATTGTTGTTGCCACAACAGCTCCTTCAAAAATATTTGGAAGAGAAGGGCATATAGTACAGCAATTCATGCATCAAACAACTTGAAACCTATGTAATTTTTTCCTTTTGCTTTTCCTTGTAGCCTTCTCTTTCAGCTCTTACACCACCACATAATGCAGCAATTGATGCCGTTCCAGGTTAATTAAAGACGGTCAAACCAATCCTCTTATATTCAAACTCTCCAAACAAAAAGCCCCATGACTCATAATCACACTGGTCATATGTGAAGTATACTAACATTAATAGTAGCAAAAATGCTTTACTAATTGTATAGCTTTAAGAGCCAGCATATGAAGTATTCACTTTCTGTATCCATAACAGATTATGCGTGCCAAAATTACTATATGCATCTCTGGCTTCCTCTTCTGACGCTTGTGGACTGAAAGAACTTTCTTCAGAGACATCCTCAGTGTCAAATCAAAGCATGGTTTTACATCAAAAGCAAATTTAATCTCTTGATTCACCAGCTCAGCAAGGTCATTCCTGTTGGTGTTTCTGTATGCACTTATAATAGCCTCATATAGTGATTCACTGGGCTCAATGTCTCCATATTTCAATTGGCTGTGAATTCGTTTTATGCCTTCAACCATGCCAGTCTTCCCATAACAACTTACAAGATGAATGAGGGTGACAACGTCAGGTTCTACTCCCTTATCTTGCATTCTCATGAACACATTCAATGCCTCATCAGTGTTCCCTGAAGCCCCATAAGCATATATTGCTGCATTATAAGCAAAGAACCAAGGGCTATCTCTGCTTTCACAAGGATTTGACAGGATTCAAGTGCAAAAGCATGCAAACCAACTACAGAAAAAACGCAGGTTATCACAGCTTGCCTTGCAAAAGGTTTTCCTTCCTGATAAGATGACTCAAGTTGTCTAACCGCTTCAGTTGGAAGACCTCCCTTCTTCATTACTGTAAATAATACTTTGAAGGTCCCTGTGTCTGGCAAAAGCTTTTGCTCACCCATTTCATGCAACAACTGGCCGCAGGCAACTAGCTGGCCATTTGTAGCATAACATGCCATCACCTTATTAAATGCAGCACAATCCCTCAACAAACCAGAAGCTTTCATCTCCTCAGCAACAGCAATAGCTTCATCAAGCATGCCCATGTTCTTATAAACATACATCATGGTAGCAAATGTGACTCCATCTGCCCAACCTTTTTCTTTCAAATGATCAAACATCAGTTTTGCTTCAGAGACCATTCCTAATTCGGCATAAAGATTAAGCATACTGTTGGATGCCACTATATCAGGACCACCTTCCATGTTCTTCATCTTCTCATACAGTCGTTTTGCTCCTTCAGCACATCCAACTTTACTAAATGCCTTAATCATGGAGGTTAAAATTATTTGGTTTGCTGGAAACCCAGATGCTTCCATATGTGGAAATGGTAAACTGCTTCTTCAAATTTTCCAGCTTCTGCAAACCCATTTATCAAAGATCCATAAACAACTTCATTTGGTCTTACACCTGCTTTTGACATCTCTTGGAAGACACTAATTGCATCAGAAAATCTCCCAATTCGGGCATAATTTGCAATCACTGATGAGAAAGTCAGACAGGATGGTTTAAATCCTGCTTCTCTCATCTCAGCCAGTAAGTCCCTTGCTTGGTCCACTAGATCACTCCCAGCAAACATTTGGATAAGAGAATTAAAAGTACATTCATCTGGCCATGTCCCATGATTTTTCATTCCTTGAAAAGTGAAAAAGCTTTGTCATACAGCCTTGCCTTACCATAAGCCTTGATCATGACATTGTACTCTAGAACTTCCTTCTTTTGTCCAGATATGTCCCTCTTACTGAAGAACACAGCCTCAGCTTCAGCCAAAGTCCCTTTTCAGCATAAACATCCATAATTGCAGCATATGACCTTGATGTCAGTCTACCAGTCAATTGTCCCTTCTCAAACAGTGCATTTGCCATTTCATTCAATCCTTCATCGACATACATCTTCATAACAACAGGAAGAGAGTGTTCATCAATATGCTTGCCTGATTTCTCCATTTCTTCAATGACAGCCTCTACCTCTTGAACCATATTCCTCTTGCATAGTAGCTGAAGAACTGCCCTAAAGGTTACTTCATCGGGAAAAAGACCAACTCCCTTATCTTGCGATAATACTGAAGAGCAGTATCTACATTTCCCTGATCTGCATACAAAGATAAGAAAATATTGTAGGTCTTTGTATCAGGATTTATTCCCTTCTTTTCCATCTCATCAAGCAAAGCCTCTGCCTCTGACAAATGACCATGACTTCCACAAATGAAAATCATGGTGTTAAAAGTAATTGTATCCATAGCCACCCCAGAACTTAACATGCTGCAAACACATCTCCAGCATCTTTCAACCGCCCTGCCTTCCTACAAATCAATCAAAGTATTATAAGTAGCTGTAAGCCTTGGTTTTTGAACAGACATTTCTCCATCAGTTGAACCCCAATCACTAGAAAGACTGTTTCTACTGCCTGTCCTGAAAAGTTCAGTTAATAGAAAATGCTTCAAACTAACAGGTCCCAACCCATCCTTGGATTGCACATCATCCATCGAATCAAGATCATCCAGTTCAATTTTCCCAGCACACCAATCCTTATAAAACCTATCCCCTCTATCATATTCCCCTGCATCCTTCAATACCCTCACCACGGTATTCATTGTCACCTCATCTGGGAATAGCCCCCTCAACTTCATATGCCTAATCCACAGCAGTGCCTCTTTCACGAGACCTGCTTTCCCATACACATCAACCAGCATCCCATACGTATTATTTGTTGGCAAAACACCTTTTTTTGCCATTTCAATCCAACAAAGCCTCAATTGATCCCATTTTTTCGCCCTCCCCAACGACCTAAGCACAACATTATAATGAATCACATTAGGGACATACTCTTTCTGTGACTTCATCCACTCAAACACCCTCAAAACCTTCTCCCACCTACCTTGCTCTTTGAGAATAACAGTCAACTCCTTAGCATTAAGCTTCCCATAATGCAGCTCAAGAACCTTTTCAACATCATTTTCGCTTTCTAGAGACCGTAAAATTGAAGGCAAAATGCCCCCGTACCTTCTTTTCTTAGTACTACCTACACTTCTTGTTGGTAAAGTTGCAGCCTTTGAACAGCACTGCAGCTTAAACCCTACTAAAACCCCATTTTCTTTAAAGTTTTGCTTCTGGGCTTGTGGGATTTTCACTGTTCTGTAAAGGGTCTGATTAGTTCGCGAATTTGAGCTTAGTTCCCATCTTTGCTTTTTGGATGAAAAGTTTTTTGTTGGAAGCTAAACCCATAAAAACCTGAAACTGAAAGGAGAATTGAAGTTTTGAAGCTTACTTGGTGGGGAAAAGATGTGGCTTTGGATTGAGTTTTGGAGATTTTCTTGATTTCCCACTGGTGAAAGCTCTATGCATCTGCAAGTATTCGTCAGGAGCATCATAATTTTCTTACTTTTCTTGCATAAATTGTTCTCTGTTCTTGAAACTGGAAGTTGTTTTCAGTTTTTGGCAATAGGAGGCATAAAAGCATTTTATACATACAAGTGAAGGCAAAATGGGGAAACCGGGAGGGGGGGGGGAAACAAGAAGAAAAATGCCGTGTCCTAAATAATTTCAATTGCACACTATTGCTGTATGTCCATCTTTTAAATAAAAAATTTTAGTTATATCGTTTTTCAAAAATTGAAAAATATAAAAAAAGTATAAAGCTCTATATAATAAATCATTAATTGCCAAAAAGGATTATTAATTGGTTGTTGGTTTATAACCTTTTTGTGTTTTTGCTTATCAAGCAAGTTTCTTAAACAGTAATTGCTCTAATTCTATAATTTTCCTATTGGCATATGTTTTAGTACCATACTAGAAACAAGAAAGAAACCAGACTGAATCTGTTACTCCTACTGGCATATAATGAATCGACTGGAAAATATCTAATTGGAAAAGTTGTAATTGGAATATCTAATTGCAATCCACATTCAAGTCATTCGGCTCCCCCACTTTCCATTTCCTTGACGATTTAACACAGTTTAAACAAGATATATTTCACGATAAATTGCATGTACAATTTTAGAAAAGATATTATATTTTGTTACTTTTTATATGAGTTCGTCTATAATAGTTGTGTCACAATTACATAACATTCTCTATATCTTATATTTTAAAACTATGCTTTATTGACATATTTTGGACCGTGTTAACGGTTAAGAACAGTTTTCTTACCCAAAATTGAAAGGAAAAATGTTACTACTTGTACAATTTGATAAGAAATATTTTATATTTTGTTATTGTTGTATGAAAATTGTGTAACATTCTCTAAATTGTACATTTTAAAATTATTCTTTGTTAGCATATTTTGGGCCATAAACAGTAAAAGCGGTTTTCCTTACCAAAAATCAGAAGGGGGAAACAAAAAAAAACTGCCTTTGTCTTCTCTATCCTTACCCTTTGTGTAATGTCAAAACAGTTTTAAAAAGTTTCCTGTATAGAGACTCTCCAAAATATATCATTAAACAGGAGGATATGTAGTAGAACTGAACCAAGTTACAGAAACACAGAAAAACAGAAGTTACTGCATCAGTAATACAGGTACTAAGAAATGTTTGTTCCTCACCTACTCTAAATTTGAGCATCAACTACTATGTGTCAATATATCTAAGAAATTACATTTGAATCGGTAAAACAAGCCATCCAATCGATGATGATGCGAACAAATATCGATCAAAAAATTTTCAGAACTCTGTCAAAAATTCTGGAATGGCAAAACATGAAACACAGGGACCTCCCTAGACATGAGGAGTATCATAATGCTGCCATCACGGTTGACCTTGCAGCTTCCTTCCTCATCTCCGCAGCTTTGCCACTTCCTCGGAAATACTCGTACACTTGCTGTATTTCATATTAAAGCAACAAAACAATTCCTCAGATGATACCAACCTACACAGAGAAGCTGCAAACAGGAGCAATCAACTAACCTGAATGACCCATATGCTGATCAGTGATTCAATTGCGAAAAAGGCAAATCCAATAAAGTAAAATATCTGCACGGAAATCTCAGAAGGCGTCAAATAATCTCTCTAGATGGTCAGCTCTTTCTACTTCATCAAAGCTCAGCATCTAACAACAGCAAACTCAATTTGATGAATGCATGGAACAAAAATCTATCAACTAATAATGATTTTTATTGTTCTTTCCTTCAGATATGATGACCATTTTCTGCACTCAAGACAAATGAAATCAGAATACATACCCCCACCAACACATTCGAACTTAAAACTTCAATAGCAGGCAAGATTCCACTGTATACACAAAGCAAACAGGAGACAAGAGCATTAGTAGCGGAATAGAAACTGTTAACCAACATGTATAAACAAAGAAAATAGCTAGAAAAGAATTTATGCAGTTTCTGCCCATTGGTCAAATCACGTACACAGATATCTTAATCCGACTCCCCCATCAGCCAAATAATGTGTTTGCTAATGAAATATAATGATGATAAAAATGTAATTCAAACCAAATAAGATGAGAAACTTACGTCAGAGATTTCCCCTTAAAAAAAAGTGGAGGCGCAACAGCAGCAACAATGCAGAAGCCAATGTGGAACTGATTTAAAGAAAACAAAGCTTAAAATGAGAATATATGAGATAAAGCCAAAGTAGAATACATAAGATGAAGTCAAATTGAGGATATCATACGCGTAACACAAGAAAAACCATCCAAACTTCAGTGCACTATCTGTCTGCGCAAGACAAACAAATGAAATTCGTAGAGCATGTCACATGGAAAAAACATAAAAAGACAGCAGAAAAAAATTGATCACAGAAGAACATAAACCGTGCACATGCATTTTCTAAATACAAAACCAAACAAAATATGCATATCTGTTTAAATCAGCTCCTCTACAAGAGCTTAGACAAAATAATGGACCATATTTAGGACACATGTTACTATAACCACATAATCAATATTATTATATTTTTATTTTGACAAATCCATGCACCACTTTGCTCAAGGAGGACAAGATAGAACCATAAAAAAAAATTGAAAAAAAATCAATACTTAATCAGTAATCTTCAAATGAAAATGCTTGTTTGTGGTGCTAAGATTATATTGTCTAACTAAGCAAGCAGTTGTACCAGATTCTGTCATTGAGTAAAAACCACTGGGCAGTGCAGATTAGAGAAAAAAGAGTGCAGAGTACCTCATTGCACGATAGAGAGGACGATACCACAACACATAGGCTCCTGGAACGCCGGAGATAAAATATATAATAGCAAGAAACCAGATTGTCGGACCTAATACAGAAAGAGGATAAAAAGTAAGAAAGGTGATATAGTATTGAAAAGATTTACTAAGGTATGAGGCTGCAAAATTTTTTTTAAGCACCAACCTTCGCCTTTGATCCAAGCTAAGGTAACTGCCATGATGTTCCATAGAAGACAGCCAACCAAACCTGCAAATGATAAATTCCAACAATTTTATCCATCAAAAACTATTACAAATACGTCCACATCATGCTATTCAATTGGCATAAGACAAAGAAAAATTTCTTTAAACAATCTTTATACAAATAATCTAGAAAATGTATTCTTTATTCAAATTAAAAAGTGATCATCAATACCCTGTAATAACTTTGTAGTGTGCAAAAAATAAAATCCTGACCAACTTTCAATTTCGTACTCTTTCTTGAGCAAAAACTATCATGACAACTGCAGTAACCTTTACTCCAAGAGGAAAATGGGGGATGATTGATGCAAAAAGGGGAAAAAAAAGTTTCTGTAAGTGTTGGCGCGTTAATCACAATACTCCTCTAACTGGTAACACAAAGCTATGAAGTTTCACATGCAAAAGCGAACTTTATTTCTAAAGATGAATATCCAAGCAAATTTAAAGAGGCTATTCACTAAGGTAAAATATCATCTGAGAGACATCTACAGTTGGTATTCCCTTTGAAGTATATCCTACTAATGACTTATATAAAACCTTAACATTCTAGCTGGATAATTATTATACTGCCCAATAAGCAATGGCTTGAGGACAAACTAATTTCCAAGTAAACAGAACCACAACAATTTTACAGTTCAGTTATTTGCATAGATGGGGATAGAAGATTTACTTTTGGGGGCCATAATATTTTTGTCTAGCATGCTACAAAATTTTTAATGAATATTTGAGGGGCGGGGCACCTTTATATTCTCAATGACTTCTTTAAGAATTTTCAACAATTAAGCGAGAAAGTATAATTTTCTGCATCTTGGGGAGCCTGGGTGGAGAGGTCTGTATGTCAGTTTTCCAGCATCCAAACGGATCTTGAGCATCGAAGTCTTTAATTCTGATGTTGGTGACCAACAAAATGCACAGAAATTTACTCAATATTCAGAGAACCCTGCTGAGCTTTCTAAGAACACCACTACAAAATTACAATATGAGCATACCTATATGGTCTAAAACTGCAGATATAATAGTGAAATAATCTATCAAAAGCAGAGCTATAAGTGCGACAAGTATAGAATACAACATTTGGAAATAAAAACATAAAATCCTAATATAGGAGGAGCAATCCCAGAGGTTTGAATCAGAAGAAGGCATGAGTGAAAAGCCAAAAATTTGGACCCTGTGGACATACCCAGGAATGTTGTAAATGCAACATATTGCAATTTCTGAAGATGGATAGGAATTTCATTTGCAATGTCATGATGAATAATAGGAAAAAATGGTGGCCAGTTCTTTTCTTCTATAACCACTCCGGCTGCCAAAAGCAAATTTAGACATTGTCAAATGCTTGCTGTCTGGTACAGAATAAATCAATCATTCTGCTGCTAAAGAAGAAAAATATGAATGATGAGAAGTACCTCGAGCTACAGCATCTTCCCTCCTTTTCAATTCCTACAAATGATAAAAAATACTAAATTTTAATGTATTAAAATGATGAAATGCCAGAAAGCATGCAGAGTTAACCACATTTCCGAAACAGAGTTGGACGGGAATATGGAATTAATCAATGCTACTAATAATGTCTAAAATCCACCAAATAGAGTTGGGGAATGTTTAGATCTTCCACATAAGTTACAAGTAGGTGCTGCAATGCTATAGTACAAAATAGAGATGTTCCAATTTCTCTTCAGCACATGCAAATATTATCACATACAAGAAGCTAGTGTTGAATATAGGGCCAGGAGTTTGCTTCAATCCAATTGAAAGCAATCGGGCTCAACGAACCATCAGGAACGCCAAGAGAGCTGACCAAGAAAAGTGCACGTGGTCTCAGTTGCCCTCAAAGCTTGCAACTTCTTTTCCCACAGCTGCAGCATTTTCTATTGAAAGGTAGCCGTATTGGAGGAAATCTGAGTCTTCTTCCAAATTCCAAGGTAGACCTAATGTGCTCTGCAAGAAGATTCATAACCAACTAGTCATGCGCTGTAAGTTGACATTTAACCGACTGTGGAAATTGTTCATTTTATTTGTCAACAATCAATTATCAAGATATGAACACTCTCTGCTCCTCATGTTTTTCATATACAAAGGGTCACCCTGGAAATTTATCAGCAATGGGTATCATTAGTTGCTTCTAACTTCTGGTCCTGCAAGATCTACACCAAAGAGTCAGATAACAGCGAAGTCTGTAGCCCACGATGAAAGCCAACATCACAACTAAGTTACTTTATTTTTGTGACTCTTCTATGCCTAGATTTCTCAAGAATGCATCACCATGCATCAAACATCCCGCTTCAACACCTTCTACACATTTCCCTCGGCCTCTGTATCCTCCAAACTCATTTAGTACAAAGCATTCAAGAGGATACTTCATCAACCTCAAGTAGTGCATGAAGAGCCAATACTTGGGTATTTCTTTGTTAGATATGAAGTACCCCGAGAAAAAAGAAGAACGCACCCATGATGCCTGCAATCAAAGACATTCCTGATATGAATGCAGCTGCAAAAGAATTTCCCTTTGAGAGAACCATCCAAGCCACCAGACAGAAATAAAGGAATCCATCGATTTTGCGTCTCAGTCCAACTAGCCAGTGAAGTGGAGTAGTAAAGAGGAGATAGTTGCCAAAGGAATGCAACAAAATTATAAGAGATCTTTACAATCCAATAATACAATCCAACTCAGCTCAGTGAATGTGATCTTTACACGGAAAACCTTAGTTGAGAGAAATGTCTTGTACCTAGGGGTAGTCAGCTACAGCCAATACAGCAACGGGACAACCAAGAAAAAGAAAGAAGAAAAGGGAGAGAAAGGAGAACCTTTACAGTGACTGCCACAAAGTGAAGAATACAGAGGTACCAGTGACCTCATAGGAATTTTATTGTACGAGGCCAAAAAGCTCACTAAATACATTCAAGTGCTTAGCAATTCACACTGAACAAATCATCTACATCAAGCCTGCAAAATCACCCAAAAACCAAACCTTGCTAGCTAGGTACAGCAGGGGGGAACTCTTAGAATGCCAATTGAACCATAGGCACTTATCCTTCACTGCTTCAGCTTCACTGATGTACTCTTTGAATCCATTGGGAGATATTCCCCTTTGCTATAACATATGAAGATATTCTGTAGGATCTGCTTGAGGTCTCTCTCATCAAAATTATCCTCTCTTGCAAGAATATTGGGAGAGCACCTGTAGTAAATGGCAACAAGAAGGTCAGGATAAACGCGGAATTGGAGTAAGAGAGGTGCTTTTCTTGAATATTGGTCAAAATGGAAGTTCTGATAACATGCAGAGCTGAAGTGTCAAGCACTGAATCTGAGGTTGCTAACGTTGTATTGGTTACAGGCATCATTATTGTATCATCTCTTGTTGCATCTCCATGATCATGTTCACATTCAAGCATTTTTCTGGCTTTTCTATTGGTTCCATTGGCCTCAACTCCCATAGTAATGCTCTAAGAAGGCACAAATACTGCAAGAAATACATATTATCGTCAGCAGAAGTAGTATTGCTAGCAAGTAACTAATGTGCCTAGGAAGAGGTAGTAGAAATTATATGTTACTTCCCACTTCAGATTGAATATATATGTGTTGCTTTGAATGTAATTTATGCATCAAGAAAAATGGATTTTCAAAAGTATATAACGTTCTGGCTTTGAATGAGTTTGTGTATGCAGCAAAATGGAATTAAAAGTTTAATAATGTTGAAAATTCTGTGGATTTATATCATGGTTAGTTGGGATTCAAAGACATTAATTCATACCAATTGTTTATTGGGATATAAAAATGGTACATGGCACGGCACGTTATCGTACTTTTATATTATGGCTGCCTGTACTTAATTTTAAATAATCGAAATTAGTATTCTATATGAATATAATACATGATATATGGTCGTCGTAACTCACAAGTTTTAATTAAAGCTTGAACAAAACCTTGGTTTGTGGAAACAAATCATAATTTTAAGTCCAGGCAACTTGTCCGACCCTATTCTTTCATGGTGGATTTAATTTGAAAGGATCTAGTTAAATATTTTTTGACTCTCTTGTGGTTTCGCACATTACCGCATTACCTTTATAGTTTTTTTGAATCAATTGCTATAACTGAAGGTACTCTTTATCCACTTTTCACTCTACACAAATTTATAGAGTGATTATAAAGATATTTTAAAACATTAAGGGATCATGTGACAATACACAAATTTTTTAGAAGATTATTAGTAACTTACCCAATTAAAAGTCCAGAAGTAACTATTTGGTTGGTTTCTAGAATGGGCGCAAAACAAACTATTTGGTTGGTAAGAGTGCTATAATGGATACAAACTAGGCGCCATGCTTCTAACCAAAATCTGCAATTTCAACATCTGTAATTTATCTAGAGAAATGATGGGAATAGTCCCTCACTTATTGCATTTGTATTTATTTAATTTCTCACTTCCAAATTTATGTAAATTTGTCAATCATATATACAAATCGCACTATTTTAATTTTAAAAACTATTTTGGGAGATTTTTAATCTTAAAACATCACCTGACCACCACATGATTCCGATTTTAGGAGCCCAAAAAGTATCACATACTTTTAATTTGTTATTATTCTTTTATTTGCTTTTTCACCTTTGTTTCTCCTTTGGCCTAGTCTAATTGGTACTCTTGGTATTCTTTATCGTTGTTATTGGTTTTTAGTTTAAATATGTTTGGAACAATTTGCGAATCTCCTTGCTAGATTATTTTTTAAATTAATTTTTTCTTCATTGACAGTGTCGGATTAATGACAATTATGCAAAATTTGAATTTGAAATTCAACTTTTGTACACATGTCACGAAGCGGTAGCATTTTGATTACTTGCAGTGGTATGAGAGCATTGGAGAAGGGCAGAGGTAAGTTTACTGAAGAGAGGTCCATTCTATTCTACTTTAATTTTGGGTCTAAACTACAGCACGGTCTGGTCCATTCTGCGTTACCTCGATCATCAGTGAAAGGATGTCTGTTGGATGGGAGTGGAATCCCCAGCAATCATCAGAAAAATTGCAGGAGAAGGGCACATCAGGGAGATGCTGCTACAAATAATGAGAATTTTCTGTGGCTTATATTACATAGTGGAAAATACCCCACAAAAGTTGAAGGACTCGTGGATGAACAATACTCATTTGTAGACGCGGGTGCTGTATCAATCAGTTTACATGCTATGCTGTATTTGGATTTTGGACCAATCAGTGTGTGTGAAGATATGAGCCTATGACTACAGTTTTTGCTCCTATAATAGCAATTCAGTTGAGTTCTCCTTGAACGAGCAATGGTGATCTGCACTTGGCAATCCTAATTGCATCATCCACATATCTTCTTCAGGACTTACTTACGAGACTGATGAATAACTAAGCAAACAGACTAATTTGCCAGCCCAGTCTCAAAGAAACTAGTGTTTTGTATCTAAATATTTCCAAGACAGCTAACTCATGACTCAAATAGGTCGGAGATTCCACAATATCTAAATATAGCTCTTCTAGCAAAGGGCAACCTCGAATAAGCATATCAAGAGAATCTTTGCCTACCATTGACAAACATTCCAGGCGCAGCACCTTCAAATCTGGTAAAGCAACCGAATTGGGTATATCCAAATCAACTTGTCTATCCATTTTCAGAACAACTAGTGTTTTGCATGTAAATATTCCCAATAGATTTGATCGCTCAGCATCATTTTCAAACAGAAAAATCTCAAGTTCTTGAACATTGCACAACGGTAAAGCAGATATCAAGGAGTCCATTTGCAACTGAAACCGTTCACATAGCCACGGTGGGAAGATTGTGAGCCCAAATTTTCTTATGGGAGCTGTGTTACGTTGCCGTATCAAGTTAATACAAAAATCAATATATCTAGAGAACTTCAGATGAGAATTTTCACGTTGAATAGGATCTAATTCGTCTGAAGTGTCATTAAATACGAGATTAATAACTGGAATAGAAGTGAGAAGGTATCGCCATCCAGGAGATAAAATTGAGGTGGCTGCGGCTTCTTTCATGGGGAGAAATGACAAAATTTGGCAAAGGAGAAGGGCACTAATTCTATCAATCCTATTTGAAGAATTGGCGATGGGATCTTGATCCAATGATATCTTCCCAGCCAAAAAAAGGGTGTTTCCACTGATCAACAAGAAGGGCAAGAAATGGGAAAACAGGATGCTAAGTTGCATAAAAGAAATAACCATAAACATAAAAGAAATGGGGAACCTCATCGGTGTATTAAGAATTTCCTTGACTGCACTGGAATATATTTCATCTGTAGTCGATCGGTATCTAAAATTTCAACACAATGGCTGAGGCATATGATATAATTATTTGCTCAGAATTTGATTATCTATGGCTGATGCATATGATATAATTGCGCACTCCTTACTCAAGGTGTCCATTTTGGCACTAATTCCCTGATTACCTAACGAGAAAATACGTACTCTGTGTGACCTTTGCCTACGAGTACAATCAGCTCCCTCCCCACAAAACAAAACAAATAATAATAATAATAAAAGGCATCTTTTTAAAAAGAAAAATTAAAAAAATGCTTTGAGATTATCAATTAATGCTGCTAGCTCCGCTCCAATCAGCTCAAAACTCAACTAATTGATCCTTTATAAACTTGTAATTTGAGCACTTAATTTAGTGGCTTGCTGCTTTAATTATTTTACCTGCGGCAGGTATCACTTAAAGGATGCGGTTCTTGACGGAGGAATCCCTTTCAACAAGGCCTACGGAATGACTGCATTCGAATATCACGGAACCGATCCCAGATTCAACAAGGTGTTTAACCAGGGAATGTCTAATCACTCCACCATTACCATGAAGAAGATTTTGGAAGTTGACAGAGGGTTTGAGGGACTGAAGACCGTCGTCGACGTGGGGGGTGGAACTGGGGCTACGCTCAATATCATCATCAGCAAATAATTCTAGCAGACAAAACAAGAAAAGCTTTCAATCTTATTATCAGAAAACCATCAAACTTTTCGATTCTTCATCAAAGCATATAACAAGTTTTGACAAGACAACAAGAGCATGCATTACAAAAAAAAAACACTGAATGCACACACACACTTTCGAACATTTGAGACATTTAAAAAATACTCCTCTAAAATTGTTAAAAGACGAAGGAGAAGAAGAATGGGAATTTACCGCAAAAGGGTTCACTTCTTCTTCAGCAAACGGATTGGAATCGTAACGGCCAGCCATTATCAGAAGAACCCTTAATGAAAATGTACAGTGCAAAAAAGAAAGTATGATATTATCGTTTAAAAATGTTCAAGAAAATTACACAAAAATTCGGATCTGGGGAGAATATAAAACGGGTTTGAAGATTTTGTATGATATTGTTGCCAAAATGGGAACGTATGGAATCAAGAATCGGACGTGGTTTTTCTTTTGTTAATATTTTTTTAAATGACTCAGTTTTAATATGTTTATCGATATGGGGTTGTACTTATACATCGTTTGGGGTTCCGCGAAAATTGAGGGGCAAAATCAGGGAAACTACCAAAGTTGGCGCTGGTGGCTTTGGTGCTGAAAATAGGCGGGGTATGGGGTTTATATAGGTTGGGGAAACATTGGTGCCTTGGACCCGCCATTTGGTTGACTGACTCGGTAACTCAGTTGCCTTTTGCATATTGGTCTTTTAGTAATGTGCTGCATTAGCCACATTTGCAATTCATTATTATGAACCATAGATTTTTGCCGTACCAATTTTGCACCTTTTAAGTAATTCTTGGTACTATAACACAACAATTGCAGCAATGTCCAAAACGACCGTTTCCTCTTTTTTTTTTTTTTTTTTTTTCCATCCAGAGGGTATCTTGAAATCACCCAGATTAATTCCCCTTGAGCTATGCAGAGCTCACCCCAGGTTGGGTATCCAAAACACCATTTCAACTACTTAATTCATAGTTGTATAAAAAATGGGATGACCAGAGACCTAATAAATTAAGTTTTGTCCAATTCAAACTGGTTCGTGTAATTCTTATTATATTTGGCGTAGTTTGTATAGTTTGATATAATCATTAACTTTTTGTATGAATTGTCAAATTCGGATTTACATTCAACCTGTAATTGTATGAATTTACAACAAAAGTTACAAAAATTAAAAGAATCGATTTGAATTAAAAGTAACGCCCTAGGCTCAAGAGCTAACCTGAGGAACTGTTGAGTTGAAACCGCAAATTTAAAATGATTAATCTAAATTCTGGTCAAAAACTTTTGAGTTAAAACTATAGATTCAAAATGATTACTCAAGTTATTAAGTAGTCCATGGACCTAGAAATAACATATTGGCCAAGACTCAACCCACGCAAAAACTATGCAAAATCTGTTTTGATGCCATTTGTATTGGATCAGGAGCATTTAAATTGAAATCACGGGTTCAAAACAATTAAACCAAATTGCTAAATAACCAATGGGTATGGAGTCATGTATCAATCCAGTCAGCTAGTTTGGCTGGCATTCATATTTATTTGATAAGCTAATTTCTTTCAAGAAATATGTCGGACCGCTTTCCTACTTTTCTTCCCTAGTGTTTAATTAGAGTTTGCTGCATCAGTTTCAAGAAGAAACAAGTTATATTTGCAGCCCGTAAATGGCAAATCTGTCTTCATACTTTTCATCCATACGGGCCGGTATTTGTCTAAAAGAAAAAAAATAAAACTAATTTGGCAAAGTATTTTTGTTGGTTATAAAAGCATGATAAGCCCACATCAAACCTTGGCTCAACCAACTTTAATTGCCTCTATGGCTAACTTTTTTTTTTTTTGTTGGAAAGATATGGGCTAATTTGTATGAAAGAAAAATATATACGAATATTTTTGGTTGATCATAAGGTACAATATGCCCACATCACCTTAACCTTAAGTTTCACATTACAATAGTTGGACATTGAGAAACAGCAATAAAGAAATACACTATGAGGTACAACGTTTTCTCGTTAACAAACAATCCCTTTATATGCTCTTCAACATTATAAGGGGTGTTTGGACAGTCATTTTTCATTGAAAAAATTACAACGTTTTCTCGTGAACACATTTTCCTGTTATTTTTTTACTTCACATACATCAAATCGCTATAGTAATTTTTCTACAAAAAAATTCAAAAAAATGTAATCCAAACACAATAGTTAGTTAGAACAGGATTCATCAAAATCCCCCAAACATTTGAACGTGTCTCAGCTCCTGGAAATAGTTTGGTCGTTCATGTTGTTGTCCCTGCAGCATAACAGACACGAGCTCAAGAAATAGATAGGCAGTCATTTGCTGAATCAGGAAAAAGGAAAATAGTAGAACGTGCAAGAATTAGCTTAGCAAGCCATTATTAAATGCCACAACCAAAATCAAGCTATTAAAAGTGACCGCAGCTAAATTATATGAGTCGTTCATAAAGGTGCAGGTCAGAGCCGTTAGATTTTATTAACATATGTTGTTTCTTTGCAGACATGCAGAATTGATCTGGAAAGCTGCACCTGTCAGGTGGGATGGATTGTTGGACTTCAGACACAACTTTTGGCTTTGGTGGAATAGTCTTATGGAAGCCAAAGAGAGACTTGAGGGGAGGGATCACATAGTTCTTACTATAAATATTCTTTGGCAGGTGTGGAAGTCCAGGAATAGTATCCAGTTTAACAGAGAGGGAAGGTGTCCTGGAGAGACTGTAAATAAGGCATTGCTGGAATGGTTAGAGTATAAGAACGTAGGGAGTGAAGAGAATTCTAACAGAAAAGTAGGGGGGCACAAAGCTATGAAGGGTGGTAGCTGGTCATTACCACCTAAAGGCTATATAATCATGAATACTGATGCCAGTCTGAACATACAAAAACAGAGAGTGGGGAGGGGGATTGTGGCCAGAAAGGATGATGGAGGTTTGATTGGGGCATGGGCAGATAGTGATGACAAACTGGGGGAACCGGCTGTGGAGGAAGCTCTGGCTATCAGGCAGGCTTTGAACATTGCAAAGCAAAAGGGTTGGAGAAAGGTCCTGATACAATCTGACTGCAAAGGTATAATTGACAAAATTAATGCGCGAAAGGCAGAGAATCCAAATATTGGAATCATTCTTTTTGATATCTTGAAGCTCAACAAAGTTTTCACAGAATGTTCCTTCTCCTTTATCAAAAGAGAAGGTAACTTTGTAGCTCACCACTTGGCAAAATTTGCCATTAACCTGATTAACGACTTTGAGTGGCAGCAATCTTTTCCTGAATGGCTGACTAGTTTAGCTAGAAATGATGTAGGAGCAAGTGCTCCAGCTTTGTAATCTTTGTTTCATGATTAATGAATCTGTGATCGTTTGGAAAAAAAACAAATTGACGAGAGAAATAACGAGTGACAAAATTGTGCGGTCAATGTATTGGCAAACAACGCATGATTGAGAGCACAGACAACTTCATTGGTAGTTGTATTATTAGTTGTTTAGCCCGATAATTGAGGATATTCACTTGGCTTTATTAAATCCGAATGTTCTCAATGTATTTTTGGTTTCAAGAGAGACTAATAAGATTGTGTATTGTTTAACTCATCATGCAAAAACTGTCAATCTTTTTGAAACTTTGTGCAATTCACCTCCAAGTTTTGGCAATCAAATCGTGTTGGACGATATCTCAACTCATTAATAAAGTTTCTTTGTTTTATAAAAAATAAATAAATAAACATGACCTCGTTTTTAAACTGATTTTCAAAACTTAATTTTGGATTTTAATTTTAAAAAAAAGTTATTTTATTGTGTTCTCAATTGTTGTTTATATTTTGATTTTGAGTTTTTTTATCTTTAAAAAATTAAAAATTAGAAGCATTTATTTTGATATTTTTATTTTAATTTTCCAAAATTAGTTCTTATGCAATCAAAAACAGTTGAGAACAAGGCCAATAACTAGTTTGTCTATTTTTATTCAATAGGAAGGACTTAGGTGTATCTCATTGTTAATTACTTGAGTATTAACAATGATTGCACTCAAGATTAAATCTCTTATACATGAAAGTCCGTGGTGGGTAATTCTCATAGGATTAACCCATTGTAGCCATACACTTGTTCTTCTATTTTTAAGTGTTCTTTCTCAAACTTTGGAATTTTCGCGTCGGTACTTAAATGATTTTTATACATGCGCTACTTTGTACGATGACCATAACTTACAAGTTCACCTTAAATGTTTCGATCCTAATATTTAGAATTAGAATTCTCGTCATTC